AGTAGGAGTAGTAGTAGCAACAGCAGTAGTAGCAGTAGTAGTAGGCGAAGTCGTTGTCGTAGACGTCGTAGACATCACAGTCGCCGTAGCCGTCGTAGTCGCAGTCGTGGTAGTGGAACTATTCGTGCTAGTCGTAATAGTCGTAGTAGGCGAAGAAGTCGTAGTAGCCGCACTACTCGTGCTAGGCGTGATAGTCGTAGTAGTTGTCGTGGTCGTCGTCGTAATAGCGGAGTGAGTGGGAGTGGTAGATGTAATAGTGGTAGTAGTGGTGGTAGTACTAGTACTAGTACTAGTACTAGTACTAGTAGTAGTAGTAGTAGTAGTACTAGCACTAGCACTAGCACTAGCACTAGCACTAGCACTAGTACTAATACTAGTAGCGCTAGTACTAGTATTAGCAGTACCAGCGGCAGTGGCAGCTGCAGCAGCATGAGCAGTAGTAGTACTGGCAGCGTCTTCGTCCTCGTCGTAGCAGCAGTGGCTGCAATGTAGCATCTGCAGCAGCAGTAGCAGCAACAACAGCCGCAGGAGGAACAGGAGCAGGCATAGCAGCATCAGCACTGTTAGTGCCCCGGTTCAACTCTTGCATAATGCTTGAGAATTCCTGAGCTCCATGCTTGTCCATTGCAGCGGCGAAGTCTTTTTTCGAGAGGATGGAGCCCAGTTTCTTGTGCAAGCGCTGGCGAATTCGCCTGGGGCCCAAGGCAGAAAACTATAGGGATATGATGATGAAGACGCCGAGGGTCCCGGGTCCGCAACAAAGATTCTGTTTGCGGTCAGCGCACGGCTCTGTCGAGGTCTTGCCGGGTGTAAGAGGAAGTCGAGGAGTTCGAAGGGCTGCATACGATTCACTGCACTGATGTTAATAATCGAATTACACCATGCCTGGGGTAATTAAGATGATTAAGGCTGACTAATAAGCCAATAAGCGAACTGCAGCCCTGAACACTGCGACAGCTTTTATCCAGACAGTCTACACAGCTGCATCTGGTAAGAGAGGCCTATCCAGGGACCGATGGTGTTAACTTCTCGAACGATGGTAAAAACTTTAACCTTGCTAAGTCCGGGTCTCTACACCGGACACTGGTATTCTGGGGCTTGGAAACGCTCAGATTTTCTTCCTCCTTCCTTGGCCGGTCAAATTTGGAAAGATATGGTTATAGGAGGAAGAAGAGCAAAACACAATAATGTACATGTACTCATATACATACATACATACATACATACATACATACATACATACATACATACATACATACTATACATACTATACATACTATGCATACTATACATACTATACATACTATACATACTATACATACTATACATACTATACATACTATACATACCTACCTACCTACCTACCTACCTACCTACCTATCTACCTACCTACCTACCTACCTATCTACCTACCTACCTACCTACCTACCGACCTACCTAGCCTACCAAACCTACCAAACCTACCAAACCTACCTACCTACCTAACCTACCAAACCTACCTACCTACCTACCTACCTACCTACCTACCTACCTACCCACATACACACACACGCACAATATGCATGCATGCATGCATGCATGTGTACGTATGTCTGTATGTATATAAGTATGTATGTATGCATGCATGCATGTATGTATGTGTATATATATATATGTGATATATCGCAGACCATTGAATATGCAATCAATGCCCGAAACCCAATATCGCCTCCCACTTACCGCTTTGTAAGATGTGGCTGTGATGGTTACGTACGGATTAGGGTTTAGGCTTCAGGAACATTTTGGGTATTTTGTAATTCAGGTCTAGGGTTTACGGCTCCAACCGAAATAGCAACGGTTGTTCAGTGTCTTTCATAACAGTGTTTATCGCTACACGTCACCCCGCCTGGCCAGAAAACTACTGAACCAGCTTCTTTGCTTGGGGTTTAGGGCTTAGGGTCTAGGGTTTAGGGTTCCTTCTCCGTCATTGAAGATCAGGAGAAGGCCTGGCCTCTTCAAGGAGCTGTTGTTCGATGTTTCCTGGGTTGCTTCAACAGCCGCCGCGATGAGCTTCTCCACGTTTGCCCTCCGGGTTGGGGTTTCGAGGTACATCGATATTCGACGGAAGAGGGAGAGCGTGGGCATGTGCCTGAAGAGCTAGTTTTCTAGTAGTAAGTACTAGTAGTATCAGAGGCATGGGAGCTGAGTGGCACAAGACTGCAAGCGAATCCCAAAAGGCCGAAGCCAGCTGGGCTCGCATGTAAGCCCAGTGGCCAGACTCCTCGACTCCTCTGAGCAAGAACGTGCTAACCCGCTGGCCTCTTTACACGGATGGGCACCTTCTTGTCCTCGACTGTCGGAAGCACCTGGAATCTGATTAAATTTTATCAACGAAGCCGAAGCCTGACAAGGCAACCAGGCCAGGGACAGCCTCGAAGATCTGTTTAGTTCCATTTGTCGATGAGTATCATTATCTCGTCTACGTTTGGGCATGGAGTTTAGGGTGCGCAAAGGATGCTGTTGTTTCTTTACGTTCGAATCATTCTAGTTGCACTTTCGGTTCTCTCTTTGGCTTTGTGAGGATACATTCCAGCGCGTGGGCGCGACAGCCTTTCTCCCACATCTTTCCATCGGTTTAGCGTTTGTCTACCCGGTCCACCCGACTCCATCCTTGCACGGCGAGCATGATAGGCCCGACATAGTCGTTTCTTCCAAGAGTCAGAAGACCCGAACAACTCTTGCCGGGAAGCGAGCCCTCTCTGAAGGCGACGGAAGGCGACACCAACTAAATGTAGGGGCCTTAATAATTAGGATAGGGTTTTGAAGTAAATTATACTCTAATAGGGTTTTGGGGTATATTGTACTATAATAGGGTTTGGGGGTATATTATACTATACCTAGAATCAGGAACCCCCGAAATAGTAGTATTGGTAGTTATTTAGGCCCCTATATTTCGGGGTAGGGTGCATCCCTGAAGTCTCCCCAAAGCGGATTCTGAAACCCAGTGCCCCGAACCTCCAACCACAAACCGCGAACCCCTAAACCCTAAACCCCCGAAGCCCTAAACGCGTAAATCCCAAAACCCTAAACCTTGAAACTCCCCACCCCGAACGGCAACGTGCGCCTGAATGAGCATGGGGTTTTGACACGGTCTAGGGGTGCGTAAGATTTGCAAAAACGCTGTAAACGTGGGGTTGGATGCTTCGAAAGTACCGCTTTGACCAGGGTTTTGTGTGTCGAAGGGAATTCACTGGCCCAGTGGGAAGATTTGTAACCTTCCGAATGCGAAGTGAGAAGCCGACCTCGTTTTGTTCACAAGTTTCGTCTTGTTCTTGGGGTCTGCCAACCAACTAAGGTCCGTCGACAGCTGCTTTGCAGCATTGAAACGGAACATAAAGGAAAAGCCTAGGTTATAATGGGGATAATGATGATCATAAACACTTTGATGATGCGAAAGTACTGTTCTTACCAGGGTTGTGCGTGTCGAAACACGATGATGATGATGATGATGATGATGATGGCCTGCATATTGATGTTGTTCGTGGGGATGGTGGCGAACGGGACATCTTCCCTCCCCCCCCCCCACCCCACCCCACCCCATCCCACCCCCCCAAACCAGCTCGCAAAAACCCCATGGTCATGAAGGCGCGCGTTAGCCTAAACCACTAAACCCCTAAGCCCTAAAGCCCTAAAGACCCTGACTCTGGCCTGGGTGGTGGAACCCATCGACTCCAGCTCGGGCTCTGGTGTGAAGCGGCACATCGCCTCAGGACCGAAGGGTTTAGGGCCTTTAGGGTATGCCTGGACACTGAAGAACCTTTTTCAGGACTTATATAAGGAAATCATAATACGGAAATAAGGAAATCATAATACGGAAGCCTAAAAAGGGATGTTCTTCAGGGTTTAGGGTTTAGGGCTAGGGTTTAGGAAGTTTTGGAGTCACAGGGGGCCTTTAGGGTTTGTAAGGGTTTTGGGGTTTTGAAGGGTTCCTGGCCTTACAAGGATTTAGGGTGTATTAAGGGCGGTTGATAAGGGTTAAGTAAGGGGTTTTGTGCTCAGGGTTTAGGCTTGGGGTTGAGATGAAGTTTCGTCTAGCTTTGGGCTCTGAGGTTGGGGGTTCCCGTGTTTATGGAGTTTGTTTGGGCTTCGGCTTCAAGTTTCCGGTCAAAGGCTTCGGGTTTCGGGTTTCTGGTCGAAGTTTCGGGTTTCGAGAGCAGTCTCGGCACGCGCTTTTGGGAGCTAATCTAGGGGCCTTAATAATTAGAATAGGGTTTAGGGGGAAAATTATGCTCTATTAAATAGAGGGGCCTTTAATAATTAGAATAGGGTTTTGGGCCCAGTATACTATAATTATAATAAGGAGCCCCCAAAGTAGTATTGGTAAGTATTTAGGCCCCTACATTATAGGACCTCGGGGGAAGGGCAACCCTGGTTATCACAGCATGCTCCGCCCAGGAGCTCGCGCAGGGTGGTAGCAATGGGACCTCAAAGCTACTATCCGTTCTTTCTTTGCCGTGCTCGGGCCGGAAAAAGGATTTTTGGAAAGCACGAACTTGATCGGGAACACTTCATGCCCGCAACTAGTATCGAGTTTCATTCAAAGCCTGTTGCTTGCTGAAAGATCCTTCCCCTGCAGCACCCTCCCTGCCTGTCATGCTGAGTGTTTCCAGGGCCTGCACGCAGGATCATCATAGGCTGTCGCCCCAATCGGCAATTGGTAGGGGGTTCAGAAGCTCTCCCATCGAAGCACTTCAGGCAGGCCAAGGAGATTCCCAAGGCTCGGTCGGTGCACCGTTGTGCGGACACGGTTCTGCCTTAATACGCTGCGAGACGGAATGCTGCCGGCATGACTTGCATGCCGCACCTGTGGCGTCTCTCAGCAAAGACTTAAGTACAGCGGCCCCTCAAAACTAGGCAAAGTGCACATGGGACACCCACCTAGTCTGAGGAGCAGTGGCCTTGCAAGAAGATTCCTGATTCAGGCAACCAGGAGAACTTGGTGAAAGGGACAGACAAGCTCTTCTTCAAAGACCTCATTGATTTGTATTGTCTTCGGAGTATGCTGGCCTGTCCGCACCACCCAACTCCTGAAGTATCTCCGATGCGAAGAACGCTCGATTGTTGCTCGCTGATGCATAGGAGCAGCGGAGGCAAACGAAGAGCGAAAAGTGAAAATACAAAAAAAACTGCCTTCCTACCTGCACAGCATGGGCCGGACCTCTGCAACCTGGATTCCCTTACATTTGGTTCAAGTTCAATGAGGCATTTGCAGACAGATAGTCGGTTCTGTTGTACAAGTTGGGGATGGTGTT